GAGGTCTCTTGATTCCTGATTATAGTGTAGCTGCAAGCGTTCGTTGTATCGGTTGGCGAATGCTTCGACTTAGCTGCATATAGTCTCCATTTTGAAGTCTCCGCGCAAGGCAGAATTTCTGACGTATCAGTCAGCACCGGTCATTCGGCGCAAGGCAAAGTTTTGGAGTGTCTGAATCCGTCTTCGATTTGTACGAGACGTAATTCCCCAAACCTGGATACCGTATCTTCAAGTTGGAGCCACCACGAAGTTGTAAACTGAGAGTTTGCAGCGAAGTGGCAATGGGTTGTTGGGCAGTAGCCAGTTGGTCTTGGCCATCTTACAGCGGCACTGCTTGAGAAGGCACTCGATGTGCACCCTAGGGTAAGTCTTATATCCAGTACAAGATACTTGGCGCTTATGCCAGCGTGAAGGCGCTACCATCTGTCCAGACTGCTGAAGTCTTGCCATGCCTCAGTGTGCCGCTTGGCACTTCGAAGCATTGTTCGACCTGGGCCCCATCAGTGGCTTCATACTCACAGTATGCGGAGTAAAATATTACCGCGATATCAGCAAATGTGGCCATCAAGTGTTTGCCTAGGGTGGCGAAGTCATGTAGGTCATCCGGAGTGGGGATGTACCCCGCGTACAAATTGTAGAGGAGGGGACCCAGTACGCTGCCTTGAGGTACACCCGCCTTCATATAACAAGCCGAAGAGATTGCTGTCCTGACTTTAATTTTAAAGATAACTCATCTTGATTTTCTGGAGCAATCCATCTATCCAGACTCGGTCGAAGGCCTGCTTATCGTCTACAAGGACTCCATAGCAATAGTCTTTGTCGTGCTAAGCGTTAAGAATATAGTTAATCACTCTGTGAACCTATTCAACAGCGCCATGTTCACTTCTGAACCTAAAGTGGTGATCAGGAAGAATTGCCATTTGATTCATTGCCATTTGATGATACGAGCTCGTGTGGGGAGGCTAAATAGAAGGGTGTGAGCCGTTCCTCCAGGTGGCTGGCGAAGGTATCTGCTTGCTCTTCGTCTGTAAGGCAGTATGTTCCATTGTGGCGAAGAAGGGGCACGGTTCTCCAGGGTTGGCGCCTCAGGTGTTGCTCGCCAGAGCGAGTATCCTGAGATATGGGTGTAGTCCATGCTTTCAAATCTTCTGGAAAAGGATGCATATTTGTGTCTGTGAAGGGCCTTCTTGAATTGCAGCTCCGCTCTTCGCCAATTCGCATTGCCCCTTGGATGCTGAGTCGTTTGGAACCAGAGTCTGCTCTTGATCTCTTGATCCTGAGCAGGTTGGCTATATCTATATCTTGCCTGAGATTTTTGAAAAACTTCTTTTAATCTAAATACCTTCTTCGTATTTTTATTACTCAATGCCTGCCCGTTCTCTTTAATTACTTTCTTAGCTGAACGCGATATAATTTTTAAGCAGTATATTTTATTGTGCATTAGAATGTTCGTATGTTTTCAAAAAGAGAAAAGCACATAAGTTGTAGTTTAACTTTGTGGGCAGTTTCATTCGTTTTACTTATGTATTTGACTTAAAGGAATGACCGGCTTGGGCTTATAGGGTGGCGAGAGCTTTGAATGAAAGATAAATATTTTGTGTATACTATAATAGAAGCTAGAAGGTCGGGAACTACCGAATAGGGTATACCCTACACTTTTTCCGACCAGCCCTAAATTCAACTCGCGCTACGTTGCTTCAGGAGTAACATAAATAAAGGTAAGAGTTCCTCTCGAACTCGTAGCAGCCCACACTATAAGCAAATGCTTCAACTCAACAGCCACAACTAGAATTGAATCACAATGAGAAAACCCGAATTTAAACAGCAGCTCAGGACACAATACAATCGCAATTACCATGCTGCCATATTGAAAAAATCCAATAAAGACGCTTAGGAATGTGTGTGCACATGTATACAGAAGTTCTTGCACTTTGCCCTAGGCTGCCGCAAACACGATGGCAGCTAAAACACGTTTTCTTTGTGTTTCTTTACCGATCTTGATGAACTTTTCTGTAGAGTTTATTGTGCTGTAGAATATTCGTCTATTCTCAAAATGAAAATTGCATCAAAATAGTGCCTTAAATTGGCGAGCAAAATAAATTGGAGATTTTATCGACTCGGCTGTTGATACTGATGAAGAAGATATATATTATGGGGTCGGAGATTTCCCTTCTATACGTTACATACTTCACGATAAAATTGTAATACCATCTGTGAGGGTATAAAAATGCTTGATATGTGTGTATAAATTAATATTAAAATAAGAAGTCCTCGCGGATTTTTTATAAGACTTTATTATGATTATTTTATTATTTTTTATTATTTATAAAACCCTAGGCCGAAACGCCCTAGCGAGTGAGATAATTTATGCGGGAAGTCGCTGGGCCGATGTGCCTCATTGAAACCCGGACTAAAAACAAAATTTACAAAAGTGCCTGGAAACATGCGAATTAAGACATCCTGCACCTGTGCGAGTGGGTGCAGGTTGCAATAGAGGGCATTAACTGCATTTGGATTAATCAAGTCAAGTAGTTCATCTAGAAGGGCTGTGCGATCAGTGAAGCACACTTCATGACGCCTCTTGTCCCCGAAAAGGCTGACGTTGCGTTTGGTGGGGGTGCGTGCCTCTTCAATGACAATTTGATTTTGGAAAGCTTTTCGTTTGACTCCATTCTATAGGTTAAGGACAGCTCGCTGTGGACTGTGGCTGCGCAGGAATCAGTATTCAGGTCGTCAAGACCGTCTCCTTGGCGCTCGGGCTTGAATCAGAAACGGCAAAAGTTACCCCATATAGGTAGTGACGCAGCTTGCTAAGAACCCACAATATAGCCAAAAGTTCCCGCTCGTTAGTGGAGTAGTTCACCTCCGGGGGCTTCAATGTTCTGAATATCATTAAGATGGAGATTCTCATATTTGCTTCGTACACGCTCGTACAAGTGAAGGCGATGACTTCGTCAACATAGACATAACAAGATTTGTCAATTTCCTCACGCAGTACGTCATCAACAGTTCTTTGGAAGATGCTGCCCGCATTCTTCAACCCAAAGGGAAGTTGACAAAATTCGTTGCGCCCGAGAACTGCAAAGGCTGTTTTTTACGGTCACGCTCTGCTTTAGTTTGCGAAAATCCATTACGAGGCGCATATTCTTGTTACCAAACTCGTCCGTCCCCTTCTTGTCCACAACGCAAATGGGGTTGTTGATGATACCATTCTTCAGAAGGCTTTGAATTTCTTTATTAACGAATTCCGCTGCTTCAATGGAATAGGGGTACAGTCGGACATCTACTGGACATAAATGGTCCTGATAGTGGCCACCACTGATGTGCTAAAGGGAAGTACTTCTTCCGGATCCGCGAAGGCTTTATGTTTGCTTTTTAGCATCTTTAGAATTGCATCTTTTGCAGAATCGGGCGCGACGATGCAGTCAAAATTGGTAAAGTTTACATCCGCGCACCTGTGGAATTTGATTTATTTAGTTTCTGCTCCACATTTAAGTTGGCCAGAAGGACAAAGCGACACTCCTGCTTGCGTGAGCGAGTCGAGCCCCACAATTCCATCAAATGTGGACAGGTCTGGGAATAAGAAAAATGTGGGAGTTCTGCGAACAGAGATAATAGGCACTTATTAGTGATTTTCGTGGTGCCGTGCTCTGGGCACACACCTTCTATGTGGCCTGATATAATTCTTGGAAGTGCCCGTGTCGATGAAAAATCTCGTCTATATCCCTGCTACTCTCCTACTGATGTAGGGCAGCAGGGAGCTTTCCCGAAAAAATGGAGAGTAACACAGATAATCGACGTTCATTGGTTCCTATGACCCGCCACCTTTATTCCACCTGCCACTCTGTTTCTCAAATTGACTTTGCTGCTATTGTGAAGTGAAGTGAGGATTTTTGAAACCGCTGGGTTGCGGATCTCTCATGGGTTTCCTCTACCTCTTGCACTAGAGCTAGGGCCGACGGTAAGTCCTTAGGCTTTGCCGCGAACAGGACATCCGTGCGGCTACGCTTTAGGCCTGAGACAAAAACACGCAACGCAACATCTCTGAACTTGTGCCATACATGGTTCATAGGACATGTTGACCTTAGTGAATGCCGGATTAACAACTGAATTTACAAAAGATTGATCAAAACTACCTGAGCTATTGTGTGCTTTTCACAACGGCCGCTAGAATGCTTAGCTTGCGCCTCGTGCGCTGCCGTCGTGCAAGAATATCCGGCCCAGAGCTATGTCAGCATTTGTGGCTGGTGTTATATTGCATTTTGCTGACCCCTGTTAACTCGTAAGAACATCCGTCCCAGTGCTACTTCAGCATCTGGAGCTGGTGTCGTTGGCCTCTGTTAACTTCTATACTATTCTAGAAGATACATATCAAGTTTGGTGCCTTTTACTGGTGGTCGATGGTCGACTCCGATATTGATGCTAATCTACAATATACCTATATATTTTATGGTTAACAGACATACATATATTTACACAACAACATTAGACCCTCTTTATTTATTTTTAATGGGCTTAGGGAATTAATAGTTAGTACAATAAAGTTGTCATATGTGTTGTGTGGTGATTTAGAGGTCGCCATCACCGCTATTGATTCTGAAGAAAATAATTGACCTTACCTTCCCCGAAAAGTCACGTATTTTCAAAAGAGGTATTATTTATTGAGCGCTGTCATGAGATAGTCAAGTCTGATAAACTAATTATTATAATGATTATTTTTTAACTATTTAAAAAGCAATGATATATATGAATTTAATAAAATTATTGAACATTGAACTTGAGTCGGTCCGCTTAAAATTTACTTTATAACAGTGTCCGCATAGATTTTAAGGTATTTTGCTATTGGCTGCTTTTTAAATAAGTTTAAGTCATTCTTTACAGCACTAGATACTACAATACTACATTTAATCGAAGTAGCACGCAGTATGACTTATACCATCTCCGACATTTACAATTTTAAATCTTCAGCTAACAATTTCAATCTAATCTTTTTTCTACAGCAAAAGGAATCTCCCTGGGAGGGTGGCATACGCTCCGCAGGCGCTATTTGGAGTCCACTTTTGCAAAAGAGTAGCTACGTATCAGATCAGGTTATTCATGCAATAGATTGGCTACCCACACTGGCTTCAGCTGCTGGTGTGGCTCTACCCGATCATCTCAATATAGATGGCGTTAATATGTGGCCCACGCTTACTGAAAATTTGGAGCCGCAGCCTAGAACACTGTTGCATGTATTGGATGATGTTTTTGGATATTCGTCATATATGCGGGACAATCTAAAATACGTCAATGGAAGCCGTTTTGAGGGGCGCTTTGATAGTTGGTTGGGCGAGTTGGATGCCGGCGAAATCGATCCGCTAAGTACGTTCTACGTTCAGCAGGTCCTTTCTTCTGAAGTGCAGCAGGTTTTGGGTTCTAATAGCCTAACTAGCGAGCATATCAAACAGCTCCGTGCCCATGCAAGTCATCACTGTTCCATTAACGGTACGATACACTTGCAGCCTGTGTATTTGTGCCATCCCCTGCAAGCGCCCTGTTACTTTAATTTGACCAACGATCCATGCGAGCACTATAACCTAGCGAACCTGTATCCATTGCAAGTGCAGCAGCTCGAAAAGGAAGTAAACGAGTTTCGGTTGAAAGCTGTCGAAAGTGCTCGAGTACCAATACCGGATTTGCGTGCGAATCCCGCTCTTCACGAAAACTACTGGGAATGGTGGAATGATACCGAAACCGAAACAGTTACCAGTGGGGCTGAAAAATGGGGATCCAATCTTTTAAACTTGATTTGGCGATATTGTGCGTCATACTTCGACTTTGCTTATAAGTAATATTTTTGTATCCTTTTTTTTCCGAAAAATAAAATTATTAAAACTTTATTTTAAGACACTGAATCAGCGGTTATTCAAAATTATTTTACGGGCAAAAAAGAAATATAAGACCTTGTTATATGTAATTTTCCCTGGCACCAACATTTAACCATGTGCATCAGTCTGGGGTGAAGACTTTCGCCGAAGCTTTATGGCTTTTGCTCACACAAGAAGTGTATCTAGCCGTCGCTACTTCAATGAAGTTGGTTCTGACTCCGGAGCCAGAACAAAAACATTTTCACCACTTACACTTACACTTACACTTAAACATTGTAGCAAAGAATCAGAAAACACAGACGACATATAACCAAAGGAGTGACGTCTGTGTTTTTTTTAAGCCAACGAAAAAATGTTGTGCATAGCATAAACGCTGCCCCAAGGATTGAGCAACTCAACAGAAGCTTACCTGGAAGCTCTGGTCCTTCGAGCCGGATTTTAACAATTTTTGGCTTATATATCCAGTTCGACCCAGCAAGTATCGGTGGATCTGCAATAAAAGTTTCCAGGAACCGCTAGAAATCCAAGCAAGACAAGTAGCAGTGCACCTACCTCAACTTGTCCATTGTCAAAATTCCAGCAACTCCAGTCCGACTTATTAATATTTATATGTCTAAACATATTTTTTCGCTTCACATTGTTCGTGGTTAAAACGAGGGACAGTTTTATTCAAACAAACAAAAATACCTCAAATAAAATATTGTTCGTGGCCATAAGGGCATCTAAACGTAACAGATATTAAAAGAAATAAAACAGAAAGTGACCCCAAAAAACGTCGCCATATTGGTGTCCGTATATATGTATGTATATATGAACAATTGCATACCCAATAAATTTAACCGATCGCCATATTGATGCATGCAAGTACATCAAGACATATCTGCACACATAGGCTTTCACTCCGTTGAACCCTAAGTGTATGCGATTCTCCATTCTATACTTCACCAAATAAGCACATACCTAAATAAAAACAAGTAACAGGGAGCTCCCGACTAGGAAATACTCTGAACCCTGTTATTCCAACACCAAATAAATTAAAACAAGTAAGAGGTTTTATTCGGGAGCTCCCGACTAGGCGATACCCGCGAACCCTCTTCTTTCAACATCAAATGCATATATATTCTATTTTAGAAGCGATATGTCAAGTTTGGTGACTCTCGCTCTTATTATTTACCAAAATTGCCCAAAAAACGGGATATCGATATTGATCTTTTCGATTGCTTGGAAACGGAGTAAGTTACCGATTATCGGCAACAAACTCGATCTGCGCAGGCACTAGAAGCACCTACATCTAAAATTTCCAGTCTCTAGCTCTTATAGGTTCTGAGATCCTTGCGTTGATACATACGGACGAACGGACGGACAGGCGTACATGGCTAGGTCGACTCGGCTATTGATGCTGATCAAGAATATATATACTTTTTGGGGTCGGAGATACTTCCTTCTACCTGTTACATACAATATACCCTTATACCGATTTTTAATGGGTTTATGGTATAAACTCAAAATTAGTTAATTAAAACCGAAATCTGTGCAAATTCACCTGCATGTATATACACATCACACACATCACATTATATGTGTATCGTTTGTTTTTTTTCCCACAGCAGCTTCAAGAACAATTTATATTAATTTTTTACAATAATTGGTAAGTGCAAAAAGTAAACAACATCAGGATTGTAAAATATCTTTTCCGTTTTCGAGAAACTGATTCTGAGCCACTTTTATATTTTTGTATGTTTCCACTCTGCCATTGAACTGCGTTTACTTAATAAAATACAAACACATGCATTATTCTTCTTTATTCTTATAAAAATGTATAAACAATAATTATAAGTTAAGAAGTTTCCACTGAGCGGCCGTTTGCGTAGTATATCAAATATATGTGTGATTTTTTTTTATATAACAAATTATTTAAAAACAATTGTACATTAAAAACGTTCCATTGAGCTAACTCTATTGATTCGATTAATCGATTCCAACAAGAGATATTACTCCAAAAATTCCCCGTTCGACTACGCAAAAGATGCAAAAGTCAAGCGAAATGGCAATGAAAGATTTTGATTTTGATAACAGATTTTGATAACAGACCGACTAGGCCTGTTTGAAGTAAAGATCAGTGACGCAGCGGACAGTGACATGTCACTGTTCACTCTCCAAGTCCGACGAGATCAGATTAATACTTTATGGGAAAGGTAGAACGCGTGTATGGACTATGTTCCAAAGCTCTCAACCAAGGCGCTTGCAGCAGCAGTGAGCTGGGGGCTATGCAAACCAAATTTGATTACTCGTACTCCGTTAACGAGCGATGAAAGAGCTAATGCCTTAAATAGACAAGCTGAAAAGCCCCCCTCCAAGTTCTCCATGTCCAGGGGTTGTAGTCTTTCGCCATGCGACATTGAAGTTTTCAGTGGGGATTACCTACGCTGGCCTACTTTCCGAGACTTGTTTAAAGCCGTCTGTATAAACAATCCAAGACTGACGCCGGTGGAAAAATTGTTCCACCTAAATTACAAAACTAGCGGCGAAGCTAGGGCAATTGTCTCCAAGTCCCCGCTCACGAATGATGGCCTTCAGTCAGATGAGAGATTTTAGAATAAGCGACTATTAGTCAATAGTCTATTGAAAATTCTTTTCAATCTTCCCTCAGCAGTACAAGACTCTGAAGCCGCCCTTAACGCCCTTAAAGAGCTTCATTTTCTTGTGCTTCTTTAAATTGCCTAAGCTCACGCTGTCATTATAGGAACAATCGGTCCACGATAAGGCAGAGATGAACCAAGATGAATTCATTTATGATCAACCGATATTGCACCTTCGAGGTGATAGAGAATATACGACCTACCGCACATTCGCCATCCCAGTCTAAACCCACAAAAAAAAGAGTCCAACCACCTAAGAAGTTTCGATGCTACAGTGACTACAAAGTCACAACATTGCAAATTGTGTCAGAAGAAAAACCATCCCGTGCGTCTATGCCCACGTTTTCTACAAATGTCCGTACCCAAAAGACTTTCCGTCATCAAACAACAAAAGTTGTGCCTAAACTGCTTCGCCAGACATCATCAGTTGAAGGATTGCACTAGCGCGCATAGTTGTTTCACGAGCATGGGACGTAACAACACGCTGCTTCACCGTGAGAGACCCCTCCGCTTCCACAATACCAGTAGTTTTGAGCCCTCCTTCGTCTATACAGACCATGGCTGTCAATCAAGTGTGTCATTTGGGCACAAAATATACAGCTCGGGCACTAATCGACTCTGGATCAGAAGCGACCTTTAGAGCGGTTATTCAAAACGGTTTAACTTCCATATCAACCCGTCCGATGCACAGGTCTCCGTTTTACATCAAGCTATATCGGCTCAGCCCCAAAAACTCTGTCATCTTAATATCGGCTCTCCAATAAAGCCCCGGGTCTATATTGAAACCTCGGCTTTTGTTCTCACAGATAGACGTTCTTCTCGGCGGCGATATTCTCTCATCCATATTGTTAAGTGGCTTCTATCCCAAAATATGTGGCACTCTCCTTGGTCAAGAAACAATTTTCGGCTGGATCATTACAGGCCTTGTTTCTAAGACCAGTGCCAAATCTGTCGAATCCTTTTCAAGTCTCGCTGAACGCAAATGCAAGCTTGGATAAATTGCTCTCAAAATTTTGGGAGGTGGAGGATATTCCAGTAAAGATGGAAAGAGAATCCGACCTGTTTTGTGAGCGCAACTTTCAATAACCACTAAAAAATATGGAAATTCGTCCTGTTCTTCAACCCCCCTAGTGCGCCAATCATGGGCGGCCTGTGGGAGGCAGTTGACAAGAATTTTTAAACTTTATTTTATAAGTCTACATCGACCTCCAAATACACCTTCGAAGAGCTTCCCACGCTCCTATCAAAAGTTGAAGGATGCCTGAATTCAAGACCAATATCTCCATTGTCGGAAGATCCTACTGATCTCTTAGTTCTGACTCCCGGTCATTTTATAGTCGGGCGTCCTCTACTTTCCGCCACAGAACCAGAGATCAAGGAAAACTCCACGTCCATCGTCAACTGCTGGCAGCGCTTGAAGGCTTTGGAACAACAGTTCTGTCTCCGTTGGAAACATGAGTATCTTAGAAGTGCAAAAAAGAAACAAATGGCAAACTCTAACGCGAGATTTACAACGAGACGATCTAGTCATTATTAAAGAAGATCATCTTCTAATTAATGACTGGCGTCTGCGTCGAATCCAAACGGCCAATCCTGTCGAAGACCAAAGGTTCCGAGGTGTCTCCAAGGGACCTTTCTCTAAGCTGATCCTGCTCCCGATAGAACCTAGTCTACATTTTCCATCAAGTAGAATTTCCAGTAGAGACCAGAATCTTAGATCCACAGGTCTGTGGACCATCCGTATAAAGCCGCACAATTCACGTTACAGACCGATGTCTCCACACCAACAACAAGGCCGATCCGCCCGGCGACGAGTTCGATCCGATACCGAGTATGCCGAGGAGTCCACGCGCTACGAAAATGTCAGAGATTTATGCGGCTCGCTTGTCCGTCATCCGTTCCAGGACGTCCAGTTTCCAGCGATAGGTCATCCTGCAGGTGATGCCTAATCTTCAATACCGGACTACATTTAAGCTCATTGGTGAGAAATTTAATGAGCCGCTGGTTCTCAAATCGCAGCCGGAAATCTCAAATCTGGTGTTGGGCTCGGACACCTACCCCGAATTGATTCTCCATGGCGTCCTGCCGAGCCATGGCGGCGCATCATTGACCCAAAACACAGTCTGCGTTTGGATACTGTCCGGCTCCCGCGCTCACCAACAAACAGAGCCACTACCTTCTCATTTTTCCCGTTTTTGGCAGTACTGCAAGGTGAAGTTGGTTCTGACTCCGGAACCAGAACAAAAACATATTCACCACTTACACTTACACTTACACTAAACCATTGAGCAAACGTGTTTTTCTCAAACAAACGAAAACATTTTGTGCAGAGCATAAACGCTCCACCAAGGATTAAAGAGTGACCTTACGTGTTGAA